TCAGAGACCAAGTACCAGACTGGTGCCGGCGAGTGAGGCTCAGCTCGTAGAAGCGCAAATCATTCTGGAGGATTTGCAGAGCCATTCAAATGAGGCCCTGAAAGTGCCGCGATATCTCGCCAATCTCCCAAGCTGACAAGCCTTGCTCTCCAAAATTGTTCGTGGACAAATCGCTCTGTGTTGGCTGGAATGTCGCTGCTGATCCGAACACATCGTACAGGTCTATCAAGTCGTTACTCATGTCGAACATGTCAGGCATTACGCCGTTCAACTCGAGTGTGAGGTTTGGACTGTCGCTTCCCCACAGGTCCATAGCATTTGGTTCATCTGGGGGTAACGAGTGCCGGGACTCTGTCGCGGGATTTAGTTCGTGCGGGACAATTGGGTTCTGTCCGCCGCTGTTACCGACTCTCGCACCGAGTGATTTTACAATTGGTAGCAGCCCGCGTAAGCTTCGCCATAGCCTACGACTGGCTGTACTGTGGCGAGAGAAGCCTTTGACGAGTTCAATAGCCGAGACAAATGGGTCCCGACAGTTTTCTGCAAAGTTGTTTGGTGCATGACAAACGGCCAACAGTACGACAGCAACGGCGCTGAGTAGATAATAGTGGAAGATGCTCTGCTCGCGAATGTAGACATCGCTTGTCTGGTTGAGGTGCACAAGAACCTGTATGGTATCCTGAGCGATGTCCACGACAAGACGTGCATTCTTCAAATCGGCCTTGATGTTGTCTGGGGTCAGAACATGATGGCGGTGGACGAGCGTACGGACGTGATTGCCCCGCAGATAGAGCATGGTACGTAGACGATGCAATTGAAGTGGCTGAGAACGTGGTGCAAGTCCGAGGCGCGGGTGCCTGAATTGCAGGTCCTGAGGAAGCGATTGAAGCCAGTTCTGAGTGATGAAATCAAGGTATTCCTCAGTCTCTTGAGGAATAAGTTGGAGGGAGGATCCATATGGTGGAAGCGCGTCCCAGACTCGCGAGCAGAGCCTTGCGTACGCAATCATAGCTTTGAGGTACGGGTGATCGGTACCCGGCTCAGGAAGCTGAGGGTCAATGTCACGATCGTTCAGCGCAAAGGAAAGGCTTGTGCCGAAGCTCCACCTCCGATCGAGCTCGTAAACAACCCAGAAGACCTGTACTGCAAGCTCTCTCGCATTTTCGTCTTTGAAATTGTCGTAGAGGCTTTGTTTGCGATGTAAGCCCATCTCGAGTGCTTGTCGTGCCGCACGGCCGATCGCGCGCCAAGCGAACAACTCTTCGGATGTGTGGCAAAAGTAGAGACTCTAAAGAGTGGTCAATGACATAACAAGACGTAGAGATCCACCTACCAGCATTCCCATGATCTGTATGTCCTTGAGCTCGACTTCACTTGCTAGCGACACTACTCCGACATCTTGCTCGACCGATTCGATCAGTCCATCTGACACTTCGTTCTTGCCATGTGTTTCATGGAGCAGGGCGGTGGCGATAGCGATTTTCACCATATGTACGTCGTTCATACCTATAGATGGTTGGGTGCTTGAAGAATGATTGAAAGTCTTCGAGAAGTTGAGTATGTGGGATGCGTTACGGATAAGACTCTCAGTATCGACGATCGGGTGAACACAAGCGATCTCTTCCTGATAAACGCCAAGTAGCCGAGTGATCTCATCGAGTGAATAGCTTGTGAGACTATGCGATGGCTTCGGCGATGGAGGCGTCAGGGCTGTTATAACCCGTTCCGGGGTAGCTGGGCGTGAGGACACCACTGATGAAGGTCCTGTCGAATGCGGCTCAGTCTTACCCAAGCCCATGCGTGACAATGATGTCTCGGCGATGCTGAAACTGAATGCGGAACGTGTTGGACCCACAAACTGAGGCTGTCGTGGAGCATCCTGCCGCTGGGAAGTGGCGGTTGTGTATGTGGGACTTGCTGTTTGAGGCACCGAAGGCTGTCGCTGCACGTCAGAGGGCGCTTGTGAGTGACTGTTGACCAAAGATGCCACTGTAGAAGTCAATGCAGCTATCTGGTTTCGTAGATTATTGATATCGTTGCTCAGTTGGTGGTAATGCGATCTTAGTTTGTCAGCAACACTGCATGTTCCTGGCTTGACCCACTCACTCATCGCCTCGTGACTTCCTTCGTTCTTTGTTAATTTCTTTCGCGGACTGTGCAGCGGTTGGGACTACTATGCAGGCAATCTTCATAGTCGTGCATCGTTGGCAATCGTTTTCCTCTTCCATGCGAATGCACTTCACTTTACACCGCTTGCATTCGTTGCTGACAGACTTCAGAGGGGACCCAGAAATAAAGCAGGGGATTTTACCATGCAGCAGCAGTATACTTGGCGCGTTTCGCCCGTTGCGTTTCTCCTTCGTTCTCTTGAATTGGCCTCCTCTGGGATGAGTTTGACACGTTGGTCACGGCGGATTGAGAGGCCTCCATGTTCTCCTGGGAATTGCTAATGTAGCTGCTTGTCTGCGGTCCACTCCTGATGGAGCTTGCTTTGGAGAGCGACATTGCTGGGTCCTGTGCAGATACATTGCGATTTCCTTGAGGTTGCCATGATCCGTTGCCGTCCTTTTAGCGGCCGAGGTCTACCACCAATCGCGTGACCTGAACCCGACGTTTCGCCACGACAGTCCGGGTGGCATAGCCAGCCCCTCTCGGCCATACGCCGGCCGCTAATGTCATCGCCTCTGAACCAAATAGGGTCAATAATCGGAGGCTGTGTGCCGAACAAGCCGATGAGAAGTGCTGTTGGAGAAGAGAGATTTGGTGTGGTGTGGTGGGTCAAAGCTCTCAGGAGGTCACGAGGGCGGGGAAGTACCGCCGAGTCGCGTTTCCCTCTGTGTCTCAAAACACCAGCACTCCAACACCGCGATGCATCAGCGGGAAGAGTGTACTGTGCAGATAGGTAGGAACTATCTCGCCTGCTAATTAGTGTATGCCGACTCAAACAAAAACCATGCGCACTGCTCGTGGCGCGTGTCGAACTGGAGCATCCTCGCGAATTAGTGCCATGGATAGCGTCAACGATTTGCCCGTAATCCTGGCTCCAGCTACCAGCTTATAAGTTAACCTGCTACAAGTTCCCACTCATTTTGTGAACCCTTTGGTCACATAAACAAGCAATAAATTGGACTCGGACTTCTTTGAGAGTTACAATGCTGCGGCACTAACGACGAGCTACGCTGAAGCAGGAACCGAACTAGGTGATGATCTCATTATGTCATCCTCAAGGCTTGCTGAGCAGGTCGATTGTGACCTGATGGGAGCCACGGCCCAGGCCAACTCTGCCGTGCTGACTCTATGATTCAATCACGAGCCGTTTGTGCCTATTAATGATGCATTTTCCGACGATGGCGGAGACGCGTAGACCTCCTGTCTCCGCGGCGAGCCGCTGACAAGATTTTGAAGCTGTCTATAGCACATCCCAGGGTTCACAAGCATGGGCACTGCTCCAGCTGCCTTGATCAATGTGACTTGGCAGTAATTATATATGGGGTGGCTCGCAACGTCTTGACTTTAGTCTGGTAAAATAAGGGTATGATGGAAGACACGGAGTCTCTGTAACGTACGCTCAAGTGATTTAAGCTCACTCTCGGCTTAAGACCACTACTTCATCGCATTCTTTGCAAGACGTTGTATGCCCTCAGCTGCACTGAATATACTTGTACGTTCCCTTGGAGGAATTCGTTATTTAGGTCGCTGTGCCGACTTTGGCAAGTTTTGTTCGGCTTTCATGGTCCTTGCATGAACCTCTCATTCAGCGTTCACTCCCTATGCAAGTCAACGCACTAACGGTCCTCACTACCATCTTCCTAACGACAGCGTGCAAGACACGCCATGGTACCAATACTGAGTACTGGAATATATACAAAACTTCTTCGTCGTAACGTATCTCCCTAAATTCTACCCACAATCCTTCAGATAATCTTGCACTCTACACTCCTATCAATCATCTAAATCTCCACGCGCCCTCAATTTTCAACCTTAGATGTTCCTTCAGACCGTCAGAGCGCCCACTATCTCTTAGACCATCAGGCACTGCACACTCCTTCAAGGCCTCCCACACGCAACAAGATGTCCGACATCGTCCGTCCTTTTCAGGCAATGCTCCGACGTCTAGAGTGTGCATATTCAATCCGGCCTGCTCCAATCCCCGAAGTAACTTTATGTTCCTTCTGCTCCCAAGATAACGCCGGTCCTTTCCTTCAGGTTCGCTGCGGCCACGAATTTCACAAATACTGCCTCATCAGCTGGCTTCGTACTCTCTATCGCGAATACCAAGATGCGAAATGTTCCGATTGTTACCACGTTTTCTTCACGATTGACGAGTCTCTTCGGCCTGACCCACCTGAGATCACGGATCATATTCGTCTCGAACAAGACCCGTCGAGTACGGCGCGATTGGTATAAGAGAGCGCGACGAGGGCGTTGGATGCTATTCGAAGGCGCGTTGACGGTTTAGCCGAGATCACCAATACGCGGACCCAGCGGCTTGCAAACATCCAAGCTACCGTAAGCATATTGGAGGAAAGCGTCTTCCTGTAACAGTCGCATCTGTAGCGAATCATAAGACGAGCGGCAAGCCCAGTAGGAGCGAAATTAGCCTGCAAACATGATCGGTTTTGGTCAATTATTGAAAATGACCTAACCGACCGTCATTTTGGCTGGAAAGTGAGATACGGATCGCCAACGGCATTGTAAGTCTGACTTCCAAAGCGAAGCTTCTAGTGTTACCATGGTATCGCTGTCAGCACAAAACAAGTCTGGTGGGCTATCGTTCTGAGGTTATCACAATGATGGAGGCTGTGTCACTATTCGCGAACTATCTGTCTGTCGGTACCGGCGCATACCAGCCATGTAGAACGATGAAAAGATTGTCTAACCCAGTTTTCACCTCCCACTTCCGTGTTCGCGCTTGGCTCCGGGATCGCCTCATCACTTGCAGCTGTGTACGTTCCATGACTCTCATGCAATTCTCCAATTCCTCATCGATCGATACAAGCGGCCGTTTGGTCTAGTCGTATGATTCCTGCTTTGTAAGAAACACCAGCATCGCTTTCACATAATTTCGTCTAACAGTACCAGGGGTATCTATCTTGAATGCAGGAGGTCCAGGGTTCAATTCCCTGAACGGCCCATTGTTTTGCTATTTTGTTGAAGTGGCACGGGTACAATGTGTGGTATTGTGTGCTTTGTTTGGGATTTGGAGGAGCTAAAGCGAGTACTTGCTGACAAGGGCATAGTAATGATCGCTCAAAGGTGCATAGTGCGGCGCAGTCGACTCAAAGGTCTCAATATCGATTGTGCGTAAACATCCAGGGCCACGGATCATGTATAAAAGCCATGCTTGGATTTCTGATTCTCCAAATCATATCTACGCTTTCATTACAATTACACAACATACCAGACATGTTTCACTCTATCCAGAATTTTCTGCGTCCTACTCCGTCCGATCACTTCTCGATCACGGCCGTAGTTGCGCCTACACGAGGAGAGCTCGAATCTACACTGCCGTTCTTTGATCAGGGACACATGAAACTACCTCATGAGAGGGTCACTTTTGACATCGAAATGAACAAGATCCCGCCAGAACTTCGCTGCAGTTGTCTAGCGAGTGGAGGAACAAAGTGTTTGCAAGAACCCGGACATGAACACTGGGTTGTGGAATGGGAGACAGGTAGTGTGTTGGAGACAAACGAAGACAAAACGGGAAAAAAGATTGGGAAGTCGATGAGCTATGAGGATGAGCATAAGGGTGGTAAAAAGGTGCGGATTTCACCATCCGAACGTGTCTGCTGCATCGATGTATAGGCGACCTGAATAGTTAAATACATTATCATTGATTGATTATTTGTTATTGATGATAGTCCCGGTGTCATACTTGTCCTGGCTAGCACAAATGCTTGATTGTCTTAGACATTGTGCGTTTGCCTTTCGCAGCCTAAAGACTACTCCAGCACACCAACAACGCTTGACACTTCACAATTACCAACAATTGCACAATTTCTTTCTCACACGCGCCCGCATGTCACAGTCTTACCATTCACAACGTTCATTGTGCCGCGCGTACGTACTACATAAGCAACGCATTTCACGATTTCGCAAACCGCATCACAAACAATTTCTAAGACGAACCAGACTAATCATGGAAACAGACGGCATTTCCAAAAAGATAGCTCCCTACTTCGACCCAGCTGGCGAATATGAGCCTGCAAACACCATTTACACTCTCACCGTCCGCTGCCCACCTCGTCCGCCTCCAAAATGGCTTCCAGACTTCGTGACCCGCGAGCCGTATAAGCCTAAAAATGTCGGCGCAACGTACACTATCAAGCCTGATAACTACGGTAAGCCAAACTATGATTACTTCACAGTCGATGAGATGAACTCTATGCGCGTCAAAACTGTGACACTTAAGTCATGGCAGTTTCCGTCGGAATTGCGGTGTGCGCATGTCCAGAAAAGTAAGGCGTGCGATTGGGGTTGCTATATCTTGGAAAAGGGAGGAGATCACTGTCGGTGGAAGTGTAGAAGGGAAGGGTGTCAAGGACATGTGTTTGATCGGAATGTGCTATCGGATGGGAATGGGGTGGCGTGTTTTGGGGAGACAGGGAAGAGAATGGTGTGTTCGGATCGGCTGCCTAAGTAAGTATGAATGAGTGGGGATGCGACGAGGATGTACAGTAATGTTGGTGGTATTCGTGTCTCGTGGTATTATTAATTCTAGCATCGCGCATCGCTCAAAGCTCATAAGTGACCGCCCATATATGTTGATCGTACAGTATCATTGCAGAATTCGTGTGGTATTTGGCGTATTTTTCGTAAGTTTAGAGGAAGAAAGCAGCCGCTGCCGCGCCAAGGCCAAGAACAGGCGCCATTGTCTTCATGGGAGCCGCTCCAGTTGCTTGCTGTGCTGATCCAGATGCGCCAGATACCACTGGCGAGGCGCCGCTGGCGGTTCCCGCGCTGGGTCCCGATGCGGCTACAGCACCCGTGGCTGTAGCGCTGCTCGCTCGTGGCGTCCCGGCTGCGGTCGCACTGAGCTTCTCGGTACCAGCGGTGATGATGAGAGGATAGTTGTTGATGAAGAATTGGGATTCTCCACTGAACGTCTGGGTAAGCTCCACGTTGACAGCACTTGAGTTGGTGCAGTATTGAGGTAGCGAGGCGACTGTCAATCCATCGCAAAGATCGCTGATAACACCTGCAGCGCCCACAGTGGACAGCGTGCAGGTGGGCACAGCGCTTGCTCCGCCACTTGGCCGCCTGCATTGAAGTTCGATAGTGATTGTCGCCGCATCTGAACTTGCTGAGTCGACCCCGCTGACGTTGTAGGCAACGTAGGTAGTCCCTCCGACAGTGGCTAGCCCGGGCGCTGAGCTGAAATAATCAGGAGTGCTGGGTGTTTGCGCAAAGGCCAAAGATAGCACGGTTTGGTCGCCATTTTGTCCAACAACGGAGCCTAGAAAAGTCTGGTTCGCGTTCGCTGCACCTGGTAGCCAGATTGATGTTGTGACGTCGGCAGAAACGGACGCAGCGAGGAGCGCGGCAACGAGTATCAACGACATTGTACTTGGCTGGTGTAGCTGGAACGGCTCTGATCGTAGCGAAAACAGAATTGATAGTTCGTGTATGGAAGCGGCGTCGGTATGGACGGTATGCGCGGTAGGGATGCGATAGCAGATGAAGGGTAAAGATAAGTTTTCTAGAGTCTCGAATGACGATCTTGAGCTCTGTCCAGCGCATCATGCAGCACGGCTGAGCCGCACGGTTGCCAGTGGCATGGTAACGGCTGCGCCAGGAATGATGAGGTTAGCCTGCGAGGCTGGCAAGCGAATCAATTTACTAAACGCCAGCCTTTTTCCTTGATTATCGCGCGCACCTTGCGATGATTGGCACATGCTCGCCCAAACTGGCAAACGAAAGGAGTTGTGGGTTCGCATTGACGCTGCGATTGAACTCAGAGATCCTATGATGGGTTGAATGTGTTCGCTCGTGATGGCGCATCGCATCCCATCATGATAAATGATAAACTGCCAGTACCTAACAGTGTTGGACATTGTCGTGCGATTCACTGTTCGCGAAATTAATGGACAGAAGCGAATGGGCGGTGAGGACGCCGAGGCGGCACGTCGGCTTGGACGTTCCAGGTTACTCCTTCAACCCCCATTGTGTCTCGTCAACGATGTAGTAGCTTTGGCTGTCTGACTCGCTGCCTGTTCATCAAAGGATGAGTGATGGGGAGCGATCCAACGGCCGTGAAAGAAGAACGAAAGAACGAGTGCGATGACGTCACATACCGAGCTACCACACATCAACCTCAAATGCTAGCCCATAAGAACCCACAGGCCCGCGATGAGCAAGATACACCAGTGATGTATCTTTCAAGCGAAGAAATGAATGTTCGAATCGAATTAGACTACTAGAATTGCTGTCTAACGCTGGACAGCGGTCGCAAAGAAGTGTCCGAATTAACGCCGACAATTGCAAATCCACTCCCAAATGTCTCCAACGCCACGCCATGAAATGTTTGTCCTCTGCTTCCTCCAGTGTTCGCTCAGCCTTCAAGAACATACCCTGTCAAGGCGTCTACCATCCTGGTGCAAGTCCTAGCATCTGTCCTAGCATTCAGCGTTGTGTCCTTCCTTCATTGCTCAGGAGTCCTTGTGATAGTTGGCGGGTTCGCAGCCGCGCTGATAACCGCTTACGAAGTTATAGTCGTCATCGTCGTCGTCTCTTGCGCGCAAAAGTTCTTTCGACCAGCCTTGGAAAGGCTTTTTCAGAGCTGACTTGAGTGAGAATGTGCCAAGAGAGTGCGTGTGGTTGTATGATGATTGGGCAGGTGTGCAGGTAGGCGCCAAGGAATATGCTCGAAATGAAGACTTCGACGAGCTTGACGACGACATCGCGATGTATGTAATTTCGGACGTAATAATAAATAGATTGAACAAACTATATGCTCGAATGATTGTCTTGGAGGCGGTGCGTAGATATCTAGCATACGCTTCCTCTATATATGCTAAAGTCGTTGGGGCAAAGCTGGGACGTAGATCGGGCCGCCGAGCTATCGCCGTGACGATGCCCCACAACACTGCGCTGAAAGGTTTTGTGTAAGACACGCCATTATCTTACTACTTCCATTCTGATCATTCGTTTCGATTTGAACAAGGTTTCTTGAGCGAGCAGCCTTGATTGGTATATGACAAGACGGCAAAGTTTCGGAGCTTCGGAGGCATTCGGCGAAAAGATGCTCGGCACGGCCCCGATGTCATTGACACATTGTGACGCTGATGCTTCTTTACACATTCAAAGAGCAGGTTAGAGATGCTCACAACTAGACAGAAATAAGGTGCTAAGTTGCTAAGGTCTCATGTAGATCTTGAGTAGATCCTCCATGAACTTCTTCCATAGCGACAGAGGTAATAGCTTCACGGACTATGAGGAGATTCGGAATGAAACAGTTGTGACAAACATCATCTGAATGTAGCCGACCCATATCGTCGAGCATCGTTGGCCATGGATCTATTAATTCAGGGTAATAAGTTCGATTTGTAGTTTTGAGGCTCATTGACGAGGTCAGAGATTGTTATCATCAGGAGGCAAACGAACGCAAAATTAATCAAATAGTCCTGTATTACGATCGACTTGCGTGTCCATACTTGGGTCTCGAGTCATGCAATACACAATGCGGAGGCCAAGATGATCATGGCATGGGCGACTTGAATGAACTGCGGATCTGCTTTGATCTCTTGTTAAATTTTGTTATGTTGTTTCTGCCATTATGTGTGAGACTCCATAAGATGTAAGGTAGTAAGGGATGGAGAGCGCAGAGGCAGGCATTCCATCAAGTCAATGTTGGCAAGCGCTTCTCGGTGACCATTGTCAGCATCGTCAGCATCGGTACCTATGAACCGAGCGGCGAGCCTACGCAGGCTTTCCAGCAGAAATGGTTTAATCCGCGCGTCGAGCGTGTTGCTGCGCCGCATGTCGGCATAGTAGTGGGATGTAACATGCATCGGGCACACTGCTCCCCCGAGCAGGATGAATGGTCCTAGCAAAGGTAGAGCCTCGAATTTGAGAAGAGTGACTGCTGATGGCCGTCGTGAGCTCTTGAGCCGTTTGGCTTCAAGTGCAGCA